GCTTGTCAGCAAAAATGTTGCATCTGATTATGCAAGGCAAACATCAAAAATTAAATCAGTTTGTCAAGATACATTAACCTCCTTGAAAGAACATTAGGTTTTGAATCCATAATTTATCAACGGATTCTTGCCCTGATTTATGGTTAGAAAATTCAAAGAAAAACATTGATGGAAGGGTTACAAAACAGTCGAGGCGAGACTGAACCTGTCCTTACGATGCTACCGATAATGGTAACAAAACAAGTCGACTGTTTATAAAGCTTTACAATCGCTATTTTACATTTGGGTTTGTTACCCATGCATCACGATATATGCAGTACACAAATCTAGTCGTAGGGTTATCACACAGAGCGACCAACTACCTGCGTAAGAAATGACATGCCAAGGCGGAACGAAGTAGAACAAAATTTATTCAGTTATAGACATCTGTCATTGACAATTAACTAACAGTTAGAAACAGAGTTGAGTTAGGGTAAAAGGCCTTGTTTTACGTCTCTAAGGTAAGACCTGTTTATAAGATATTTCGACTATAAAATGCTGCATACGTGCTATAAGGAACGTCTGCATAACTGAGTGATCAATGCATATCAAAAATGGTTTACTATGTAAGTGTCTAGAAACATGTGGATTCACCGGATAGGCAAACGGCAGATACCGAAAGTATTTGATGGATGGTAATCAAAAGCAGACATCTTTTCCACCACTTGAACAGCCAATACCATGAAAATTCGGTTTAATAAGCATCAGTTGTCCATATTTCGAAATCACACACCAATCCGTATACGGTAGGTGAAATGATTCTTCGTCATTGCTCAAGTCATGGAACTAAAATAACTGCCACTAGAGTAATCAGTGTCAGAGACGCTCAACGACTAACTGGAAATTTCGAATTGTGACTACATTCTAGAAAAAAATTCTTTCTCGATTAGAAGTCAAACGATATCAAAGAACATGACGCAAATTGTGACTAAGCAAAACATCTTTGAAGGTTTTCCTAAGATGCCTGACAAATAATGGTCAGCTGTGACATATTGGCAAAGTGCACATCCTTTTGTCTTTCGCTGAAAGGCAGTGTCGGTCTGCTACGCGTTGTTGCACTCTGGACGAAAATTCGTTAAGAATGAACTTACGATCCTAGATTTATACCAGAAAAGGATTACTGGTAACTTCGCCATTGCCGATCCCAAGCCAAGTTGAGAAAGAAGTATGGTTGGAGACCGTGGCAAATTCTTCATAAAACTTCGCAACCTGCCACTCATGGTATCAACGCAATCGAAAATTACACCGGCTCAGTTGTCGATCGGGTTACTAGGGGCCACGCAGGCTGTTGGTGGACTAAGGCTGCGAAAACTCGGCGATCATAACCTGCTCATCACTCCCTTCCAGTCTGGGACGTACCAGCACAACGGCGGCTGACAAAGACAGATGGAACAATGATGAAGATACTAGTCGCAACATTGGAATGTATCCTCCGAGGGAAAGACCAAGAGCTAGCTGATGAGCCCATAAAGTACCAACTCGGTATTGTTGGACGCTCGTCAACAAAACACCAAGGCTCTGGAATTCTGAACGTCTGTGGGTGGTAGCCATTCTACTCAGGTGGCGACGTCAGCACGCGCACACAAGCCGGTCTTGGTGTTCTGGTAAAACTCGACCTCGCAGATAGAATTATTGATTGGAAGCCTGTCAGCGGAAGGGTGATAAGCCTCCGACTGCAGCTATAACAGGATAAAGCGTTAACTTTGATAAAGGTCTATGCGTCTAATTTGGAGGGAGAATATGACACCTTCCTTGAGGAAATGCAGTATACTCTGTCCGAAGAACCGAATACAGAGTCTCTCCTACCCATGAGCGATTTTAATGCGCATGTCGGTGCAGATGCTGAAAAGTGGAACGCGTGATTTGAAAAAACGGCCCTAGCCACCTCAACAACAACGGCTTGAAGGTTTTGCGGTTTTGAGACAAAAACGCGTTGCTCATCATGCATACCTTCTTCGAGCATCGAAGAGTGCATTAGTATATCTGATAGCGGAAAGTTTATGCACAGAATTAAGACGGTCAGCAACGGATCTTCGCGTTAAGAGAGGCGCAAAGCTATCAACCAATCATCACCTTGTTGTTGGCACGCTGCGCTGAAAGAAATGGCCTGAAGATCTGGTGGCAGAAGTAACAGGAAAATCAAATGGAAAACATTGTCTTCAGCAAATACAAGAATGAAACTCGCAAACAACATCTCACGATGGTTTGAACAGATCTTGGTGATGACAACTAAGGTTTAAACTGATTGGCAGATCTTTAAGAGCGGCATACTCAAGACTGCCGCCGAATGCTGCGGATTTAAACGGGTTGGCCTGTTGCCTGCAGGTCAGAAAAGATCTTCCTGATGGACACGAGAGGTACAACTAGCAGTTAGACAGAAGAGGGCTGCATTCAAGGAACGCCTTGGAAGCAAAGAGTTTTCTACTCGCGCGCGATATGTCGAGGCACGCAAGGCGACTGCGAAGGCAGTGACGAAAGCCAAGGCTGATTCATGAGAGAAGTTCGGTGAGGTGTTGGAGTCGAATTTCCACACGGCAAACAAACCGTTATGGCAGATAATCCTCCGGTTCTAAAGTGAAAAGGAGGACAGTCTAAGAGTCTTGAAGGACTGATCAAGACACCATCTTGCCAAGGACGATGACGTTCTTTGGCGATGGAGAGAGTACTCTGAGGAATTCCTTAACCCCGCGCCACCGCAGGACTAGCCTGTGGGGCAGAAGGGTGCGAATATTACTGTCTCTGTAAATGAAACCACACACTTTGATAAGCTTGCAAAATGGAAAAGCTGATGGAATCGATGAAATCCGCCCTGAGATGCTCAAGGCATTAGGCGAACAAGGCATGTGCTGGCTTAAACGTGTTTGACAAACTGCGATGACAATGGGAAAGACACCAGCGGACGGGAGAACGGGAGTTTTATCACACCTATTTAAGAATGAAGACGACAAGGAGTGCTTAAAGTATAGGGACATTACGATATTGAGCCTCCAGGTAAAGTCTACGCAAAGGTGCTAGAAAGGAGGTTCCGCTGAATAACTGACTCCAAGGTACAAGAAGAGCAGTGTGGCTGCCGGTCCGGTCGAAGCACCTCTGACCACATATTTGCCCTGCGCCGGACTGTTCAGAAATCGTAGGAGTACGCCCATTCGTCCGGTATACATGTCTTTCATTAACCTAGGAAAAGCCTACAACCGGATCTCCCGCAACAGTTTGCCGCCACAGTGCGCGCATACAGAAGAGACGGCCAGCTGTAAGGGGCCATCCAGTCACTGTATTCTGATAGCAAATGCTGCGTCAGAGCTAATGGCATTGGGTCGAAACAATTCAACGTTCGCACTGGTCTCCGCCAAGGCTGCGCCCTGTCCCTTATCCTGTCTGTGTTGTACATGGATAGAATAATCAGGAGCGATGAGGGTATCGGTGTAGGAGATGTGAAATCAAGAAGGTTGCTGTTTGCAGACGACCTTGTTTCCTTAGCACCTTCTGAAACTGATCTTCAGTGCTCCCTAGAAAGGTTCGCAGTCGAGTGCGACGTGGCCGGCATGCGTGTGAACGCATCTAAAACAGAAAGCCTAGTGCTTTCTCGTTCTCCTGCTCGGTACTGTCTTCAGATTAATGGAGAGGCAGTGGAGCAGGTGGAGAAGTTCAAGTACCTCGGAATCGTATTTATTAGTGATGGAAAATTGGAGGAAGAGATCGACCGGTGAATTGGAGTAGCCAGTGGCGTTCTGCGCGAACTAGCCCGACCCACTGTGACTAAAGCAGAGCTCTGTCTGAAAATTGAGCTTTCGGTATTCCAGTCGATCTTTCGCCCATGCTTACCTACGGCCATGAATCATGGACCATCACTCAGATACTTCGAGTCCGGGTATAAGCAGCTGGAATGGGCTTTCTGAGATGAGTCGCTGGACATGTTCCAGAATACTGACATCCGGGAGAGCCTTGGTATACAACCTCTGCTTCTTATATGGAAGGAGTCTATTCCAGATTCGTGTCTTTTGCCGAAGCTCAGACTCTGGCACAGGATCAGGATCGTTAGAAACTCTGTCTAACGCGTCTGTCTCCGTGAACCGAAAGGAGAAGCAGCCACGCAAGATGAAGATGATAGGTTTATTAATACCTTCGCACAACTGTTTATACCTCATTAAAGAGACGATAAAATTAGCTATTAAGTCACCTATCCGTGAATGATGCTCTTGGAGAATGCGTCGAACAAAAGTCATGCTAAGCAGCTGCATCTTCATCAAAGTGTAAGTCCTAAAAACTAAACGATACAAGTTCTGGCTGGCGAAAATTCTTGCACCCATGCAATGATTACTCTCACGGAGAGTGTCATCAGCGTCAATCTACACTGTACATGCTGCTTCCCTCCCAGCCATCTGGAAAGCGCATTGCAGGCCAAGATATGGTGATCCTATTTAAATTAAATGAATGTAATTATCTTTATTGGATGACAAAAACGAGCTGACGATTCACACAAATTACATTATGAAGAAAGGCAACGCTAGAGTCCACTAGGGATCTTCATGACAGAGTAATTGAAGCACTTGGAAAAACGGCGAAAATATAAATCCATCGAATGTTCATTACAAGTCAAAATTAAACTACTGCATGGTTTATTACCCATAGGGAAACGTACCGTAAGGAAGCATTAGGAGAAAAGCTTTGTAATTATGCCAATTTACTGTTGACATTATATGCACTGAGTTCAACCTGCATTTAATACGGCATTTAGTTTGCCAGTTTAAAGCACAAAATGTTCAGCATCTCTTTCCACTGCATACGTGTAGCATTAGAGTGCATAACCTAAAATTATTGTGAACGATCCAACCTTTCTTTTTCACATACCTGGCTGACAGAATCTGCAATGACTACCGATTTGCAGGAGGTAGGCGCATATGTAAGGTCATCTTGAATTTGACCTTTGGCGACAAAGTGTCATTGCGCGAATAGGAGGCTGATAATTGGCCTCCAGTCCCACACGGCCAAAACAGTCAGTAGCTAATACTTCAGCTGTGAGAAGCTATGTGTCATTAGCAACGTCAATTCGCTGTCATAACAATGCATAGATATCCAAACGCGCTACACTAATTACTGCTCTTACGGCATGGGTAAAAGCTCTAGTTATGAATTCAAGTGGATGAGTGATGTTCTGAAAATCGTTATCCTCAATTTTCAGAATCTATAAAAATTTATGAAAATACCACTTTGGAATAATCTTGTGCTATCAGTAGAAGAATCTGATTCCTTGGTTGGAGACATAAAAGCTGTCACAAGAGTTTGTGTGTGGACCAATGTTTCCTTCAGCAGTGACATTGTTCATGGTTGGAGTAGCAATCGCACTGCTATTCTTCAACCTGTACTAATTTAAAAAAATATCAAATCAACACAGTGAAATTTCATTGATTTAATGGCAACTCCAAGTTCTGTTAGCAGCTGAAGAAAGCTTCTGTGAACTAACCGTATAATTCTCAATATGCACTTATATCTATTCATATGTGTCTTCCGACCCTTGTGGATCGCTCGTTTGTAGGTGCTAATTTTACTTATCGAACATTACATAATCCGTCGATCGTCC